AGAGAGAGAGAGGATTATATGTGGAAACAGAAAATATCTACATGACACTTTTGATGAATATTTGAGTTGCAATTTCATAGGATTAAAACTAACATAATCTTTTGAGGCCTCCCTTTCATTAGGAATAGGCTCCTATTTGCCTTGAGAGGTTCTTCTGAGGCAAAAAACACTGTTATGTGTGTATTGTAGAAAAATACCAAGATAAATAAAAATGAAGCTGATGATCACCATCAAATGATAGTTGTGAGAAGTTCTCTGATTCAGTAAGTCTGATGCCATTCTCACAAACTCTTTTTTTTTTAATGTATTTTTAGTTGTAGATGGACACAATACCTTTATTTTTTTATGTGGTGTTGAGATTCGAACCCAGTGACTCACACATGCTAGGTAAGCACTCTACCACAAAGGCACAACCCCAGCCTCCACAAACTCTTAAGTCTAAGGTCCACATTGGTAACCAGGCAATCATATTAGTCACTATAAAAATAAAACCAAAGATAAAACCAAAACAACAATAGTAATAATACTATCACATTTAAATGCTACTCAGTATTTTCAATATAGGCATATATCCTATTTAATATTTATTGTTTTTTTTTTTTTTTTTAGTTTTTGGCGGACACAACATCTTCGTTTTTGTATGTGGTGCTGAGGATCGAACCCTGGCTGCATGCATGCCAGGTGAGCGCGCTACCGCTTGAGCCACATCCCCAGCTCCCGTATATCCTATTTAATCTACAGAATCCTGTAGGACAAATCAGGTAGATAGTTCTTTTCTTTAGGAAACAAACACCAACAAGTGAAATAACTTACCTAAAGTCACAATACTTACCAGAATTGAAATTGGAACTAGAACCCTGGCTTTTAAATCCTTAATCCTGCTAGCTGGACACATTAACAACATAACTTCTATAGTTCTAATAATGTTATCAATTTTGGGGGCCGAGGGTGTAAAGCCAAGCAATGGGTTCTAATCCCAGTACCACAAACCAAAAAAAAAAAAAAGTATCAACTTTGGGTTTAGCAGCAACATTTAATGAGTGCTGGGGGGGGGGGGGTCCTACAACTAGGAAGGCTAGAAAAGTCTTTCTCCTGCATATCCCAGTTACCCTGGGAGGAAATTTAATAACACAATGTCATTTTCTTTGTCTTTTTCTTGTCCTAGCCCTAGAGATCAGGAAAGCAAACACCAAAACAAGGACCCAACACCGGGAAGAACATAGTGATGAACAATAATATAAATGGAAACATTAAAAAATTAAAAAAAAAAACAAGGCAGCAAAAATCCAACAATTCGGCTCACTGCATTAGGGGCTTAAGAGTTCACATCAAAACAGCACCCTCATTACTTCATAGAACTTGTCATCCTTCTAGAATGCCCCATTTCCTCACTCTGAACATGAGGTAGGTCACCTTCTCTCTCCAGGCTTACGTCCTTCATTCAGCACCTAGAAGGACTTTTTTTTTTTTT